AACTGAGATGGGGACCAACTGGTGAGAATTTGGACCCACAGAGAGTGTGGGGTCAGGTGAGGAGAGAGGCCCCAGAGACCAAGTGGATGTAAATGAGGTCTCCATTTCAGACTCTGGCTGCAGTCTGGGGGTGGAAGGGAACAGGCAGGTGTGGGGTGGCAGGTTGTCCTTGATCAGCGTGGACTCAGTGGTCAGGATGGGTCTGAGCAGAGGAGCGCCTGTGGTGGAGGTGACGACTCAGAAAGTGAGGGGTGGGTGGACAGGAGCTGGATGCTAGAGTGAGTGAGGATTCCGTGGGTGCAGGGAGACACACATGGGGCCCACTCCCCTGCCTCCCCAGAGAGGAACATCTGCTTCCACAGTTGCTCTTAACGCTCTCAGAGCAGAGATCTGCTGCAGGAGTGCCAGCGACCTTCGGGAAAAGGCCGGCGCAGGCGTCTGCAGGAGACAGGAGCTGCCAGGGGCATCTTCCCTAATGACAGGCACAGCTAACCTAGCAGGCGCCCAGGTCCCCCATCACTGCCTTCATGACCCCCTTCGTCCCTCCCCCAAGCCTGGCTTCCCAGCCCCTCCCCAGTGTTTCTCCCATGGGTGTCGAGGCCCGCCTGCACCAGAACACCGCGGTCTAGACGGGAAGGGGGCCACCTGAGCCACAGAGGAGAAGGATCAGCTCTGCTCCGAGGAGGTTGATCCTATGCTACCCTGGGGTCTCTCGGGGTCTCTCCAGGTAGGGAAGCTCTGGCCTAGGTCCAGTGCTGACGGCAGGAACCAGGGGCTCTTTCAGGAGGCTTCGGGACCTGGGACATTTGGAAAGTAGCCCCCCATCCCCACTGTTGTGCCAGGGGACCCAACCTGCTCCCCTGGAGTCAGGATCTAATGCTTCCTGAGAATTCCCACTGACTCCAGTGTTGGTTTGAAATAGAGGCAACAGGAGAGGGAGAACAAGCGCCACTGAACTTTGGGACCTGCCGAGGATCCCATCCCTCACTCATGCTGTGGTTATTTCCCATGTGCTGGAAAAGGCAGCTGTTCTTGAATTGAGTAACGAGGCAGGAAGGAGGTCCCCACCCCACAGAGAAATGGAGAGAAGCAGCCTGTACCGCAGGGCTGAAGGCAGAGGACCGCCCACAGTCCCGCCTGGTCTGACGCCCGCTTCTCCTCAGGCATGAAGCTTAGAGGTTGTGTGACCCTGCGTGGGTCCCAGGACCACGTCCCAGAGCTGCGGCACAGGCCCGAACGGTGACTGACTGAGGGGAGGGGGCAGCAGGGACCCTGGTGGGAGCCTGTCAGCCCCCACCCCTGGTCACTTGTTCTTACCTCCTCTGCGGTTCCGCTCTTCTGCCTGCCATCTTTCAGTGTACGCATATGCATCCCCCACACGCCTAGTGCGGTTTCTCCCGAGTCCTCGAGAAGTCCAGTCTCGGATGGCTCCCCTTTCCTCTGGGGAGGCCGAATAACTTTCAGAATTTTTCCTATTCTCATGGCAATATTAACAAAAAACCCCTTTGGAAAATGTAAGCCAGGGACCCAGTGCCAGTATCCTCAGAGCACAGGGGGACAGATGTTCACAGACTGAACACACTCGGGAGCTACCAGCTGGGTCACACACTGGTTTCCCCGCCCTGGCTGCCTCCTCGGTGTTCCCTGCGGTCACTTGTCTCCTGGCCCAGCTCTCTGAGCCTCCCCAGGCAACCTCTCCTGACCTCTAGCAGCGCTGGTTATCCCCAGAGGCACAGGTTCATGCCTTTCTTGTGTTGTCATTTTCCCCCCACATTAACCCTCTGAGACCCATGTGATGGTGGTTCCCACCCGACAGAGGGGGCAAGGCGAGAACCCAGGGCGATGACTTGGGACGAGGCGGGTGAGGGTCCAAACAGGGACCCCACAGCCGTGTCGTCTTCATCACCTACTCACTATGCTGGGGAACACAGCCTGGCAGCCCGGACTCCAGGCCACTTCAGTGCAGGCAGAGGTACTGACATCAGGCAGAGAGCTGCAGGCCCTGGGGGTGGTTCACACACACTTTTGAGCTCTCTCCTCTCCGGGTGCCCTGGAACCTTGGCAGGTATGAGGCTCTGAGCAGGGAAGGGAGTTGCCTAAGGTCACTGCCTGTAAGTGGCAGAGTCAGGTTTGACTCCGCGCCATGAGGGAGCATTATTTTTTTCTCCATTTGATGAAAGAGAGAAGGAAATGTGGCCAGGTGCGGTTATGAGTCCTCTTTCCAGAAGCCTTGCATCTGCATATAGTTGGGGTTGAACTTGAATGACGTCCTACAGGGTTGTGTCTACCCTGCATATTAGATGCTATGGGAACCCTGGAAATCTCCTTTGCTGTACCTCTTTGGAAAAATTGGAAAAGCTACCTCTGATCTGTTTATTGTTATTTGCGGTATCATATACACATGTACTATGGTTGTAAAATACTATATACAGTAAAAGTTATATGCTAATTAAAATGTTTAAAAGGTAATTTGGAATAAAACATTTTTAAAACTATATTTGTCTTTCAATTATTATAAGGATGTATCATTTACCTTCAGAAAATATTACATAATATTAAGGTCTAGGCACAACCTCAGAGAAGGCAATGGCACCCCACTCCAGTACTCTTGCCTGGAAAATCCCATGGACGGAGAAGCCTTGTAGGCTGCAGTCATGGGGTATGGAAGAGTCGGACACGACTGAGCTACTTCACTTTCAGTTTCACTTTCATGCACTGGAGAAGGAAATGGCAACCCACTCCAGTGTTCTTGCCTGGAGAATCCCAGGGCCGGGGGAGACTGATGGGCTGCTGTCCATGGGGTGGCACAGAGTCGGACACGACTGAAGTGACTTGGCAGCAGCAGCAGCAGTGTGAGCAAGGGGACTAGCTTCAATATACTTCGATGAACCATAATGGAAAGGAAAGTGAGAAAATATAAATACTCGTATAACAGAATCACTTGGCTGTATAGCAGTCATTCATAGATTTTAAATCAACACTCCAACTGAAAAAAAAGATATTTTACTAATATTAATATTTTCAAAAATTAAGGTCCAAAGCCACAAAATGTCCAACACCAAGAATGAACCGGTGATGGGGATGTGTCAGTGCAGCCTCCTCAGCGTAGCACAGGGACAGCCTTGGTGTGGCCTGCAGACACGAGGGAGGGAGGTGTGCCCTGTGCGGGGGCCGGAGGCATCTGGCAATCTCTGTGCTTTCCCTGAGCTTTTCTCCGAACCTTAAGCTGCACTAAGGGAAGTCTTAATTTTAAAAATATCAAATGACGCTTACTTAAAAGTCTGAAAGAATGAGAAAATATTGACTGTCATAATATTTCAATGACATCGATGATGGAGCATTCTTCAGTTCCCTCCTTTGTGTTTAATTTCTGAATTCACACCTTAAATAAGATAACAGGATAAAATGTGTACCAGCAAGAAAATTGTTTTTTTCCCCTAAAACCGTTATTGGCATAAACATTCCAAATTATTTTATGTTGAAATTGACAGGGAAGCCTGGCATGCTGCAGCCCATGGGGTCGCAAAGAGTCAGACACAACTGAGTGACTGAATGGAACGGAAAGGGAGATATAGTAACAGTACCCGATCCAGCCTGCGCCCTGACGATGCTGATCACCAGTTTTAAATGAACAGCATCTTTCTCCCCTCTTGATCTGAATATTCTCTTTCAGTGCTGCTCACATTGGAACCTGATTCAGAATCACACGGTGGGGTGGGGGTGGGCCATATGGAACACAGATTGCACTGCCCCACCTTCGGTGTTCTGACCCTGTAAGTTTGGACTGAAGCCTAATACTTGCATTTTTAACAAGTTCTGAACTGGGTGATAGCCCTTGTCCTGGGACCACAATTTGTGAACCACTCACCTATTGAGTTGGCCAAAAGCTTCTTTCATTTTTTTTTTTTTTTAAATTTCTGTAAGATGGCTTTTGCAGGGCCTAGTTGCTTTTAACTTTATTCAAAACAATTTTGTTAGATTGTATGTTACAGCTCTCATATCACTGTGCATTAAAGAAAACATCAAAATCGGTGAATTTTTGTGTAGGCATTATCAAAGATGCTAGAAAAGATAGCATTTTTCGTATAGTTAGCTTTATTATTTCAAGAAAGATAAAAAAGCAACTGAAATGCATAAAAAAGATTTGTGCAGTATATGGAAAAGGTACTGTGACTGATCAAACATGTCATTAGTAGTTTTTAAACTTTTCTGCTGGGGTTTTCTCACTGGATGATGGTCCATGGTCTGGTAGACCTGTTGAAGTTGATAGCAATCAAATGGAGACATTAACTGGGAACAATCAAGTTATGCCATTTGGGAGCCAGCAGACACACTCAAAATATCCAAATCAAGTGTTGAAAATAATTTGCACCAGCTTGGTTATCTTAATTGCTTAGATGTTTGGGTCCCACATAAGTTAGATGAAAAAAGCCATCTTGATCATTCCCACATGTGATTCTCTACTGAGATGTAATGAAAATGTTCTGATTTTAAAAATAAAATTGTGATGGACAAAGAAAAGTGGTCATTGTACAAGAATGTGAAATGGAAGAGATTGTGGGGTCAGTGAAATGAGACACTGACAACCACATGAAAGGTTGGTCTTCATCCAAGGAAGGAGATGTTATGTATATGGTGGCACTGGAAGGAAGTCCTCTATTATGAGCTCCTTTCAGAAAACCAAACCATTAATTCCAACAGACACTGCTTCCAATTAGTCCAACTGAAAAACAGCACCTCAATGAAAATCAGCTGGAATTAGTCAACAGAAAATGCATAATCTTTCATTGTTTTATTTATTTATTTATTTATTTTTATTTTATTGGATGCTTTCTAAAAAGTCCAAGCACACACATACTGCGCCCCCACCAGGAAGCGAGGAGTTCACATTACTTGTTCTTATACCCTCAAGATAAGCCTCTCCCCACAAATATTTGTATCCCAGCTACAAAACTGGACTTGCAAAGGATATATATAAAGATATATTTTTCTTGCTCTTGTTATAGTACAAACAACTGAAGGTGACTATCAATCAGTGAGAGTAAGAAAGGGGAAAATCACTTGATAAAGGGATGGAATGTCTGTTACCTGTAACGAGTAGCTGACTCATCTGCTATTAACAGGCACCTACCCTAAATTACAGGGACCCGGCCACGTGAAACTTGAGATGACATGTGCGGGTCCCCTGCTGATTACACTCGCTCCAGAAGGCACGTGATTCTGCACCCTTTCTTCATCACTACAAATTAGAGGAGAACACAGTACTTCAGATACTACCCACTGAGGTATTAACTGCATCAAGATTAGTTATGTCCAAGGAGCATGCAATAGAACTATTTTTAAACCAACATGGTTAAGTGTTAAGATCTTTAGAAATCAAAATACGTATGCACATAATTTTAAACTGAAGTCAAGATAAATCAAATCTTCTGTGGTAATGATTTGAGTGCAAGTGATGCTGGCTTTCTTCACATCCAGTCCTTCACTCAGTTGTTCTTACAGGTGGACGCAGCTTTGCAGGAGGGACAGGCTTTATTTCCAGTTCAGACGTTTCAAACAGATTCTTCTGAAACGCTGCCACTCTCTTCCGTTTGAAATTGATTAGCTCTTCTTTTGCAGATTCAGAGAGCTGTTATAAACTTCCAGCAGCATTCCTGCTGGTGTGCCTCGGCCAGCTTGACATCTTTGCTCTTTAACCGGGCCTCATCCAGCGCTGTGTTTGAGTTCTCACAGTTGATGCGGGCTTTGGTGCGTCTCTATGAGAGATCCTTGGCAGCCTCTGTGTAGAGCATGTAGTATTGTAGGAGCTTCAAGTCTTCATCAGGAGAGTCGACTCTCCACTTTCCTAAGTTTTCAAACAGCTCAGCCACCTTCAACAGGTACTTCTTGGTGACTGTATGCTCCTTTAAAGCCAGGCTATGCAAGCAGGCTGTGGTGTGGATATCATCATCTGGGACACTTTTATGAGATCTGGTAATCCTGTCAGCCTCTGCACAGGAATCCTTGATCCTGTTGTAACAGTTCATGAGGAAAGTCTTCTCTTGCTCAAAAAAGTCATCTACCTCCTTAACTCCTGAAAAAAGAACTTCATCAGCACTTTTCACCACACTTTTAAAAAAGCCACCAAACATCTCTTTGGTATTTTTCCGCCTCACACTTAGATCTTGATCATATTCCAAAAAAACACGGAAGTTGCGGTCTTTACTGAGAACAGGGTGAAAGGAGAGCCGTTGAAGAAAGACTTCGTGCGAAGACACAGTATCTTGAAGACAGCAAGGTACTCAGCTTCTAGCTCTTGCTTCATCTTGGCAAATCCTTCTTTCGTCATTGACCCTTCACTGTCTCCCAGCTTCTGCATATTCTCTCAAGGGCCATCAAAGTCGGGCTTGGTCGGCGCTGGCGAGATAATAAGCCTAGCATATTCTGTAGTTTCAATAAGAGTGTCATGTAGCCACACAAAGTCTTCAAGTTGCCTTGTGACAGAAAACTCTGGGCTCTGAAACGTGGGCAGTGTGGTCCCGGTGTGCGCTGTAAATTTGACTTTCTCTCTCTCGCTGAGCGCTCAGGCATGTCAATCTGAAGCGAGGGATCGACATTCAGGTCCACGGACACAGATCTCAGCTTGCTGCAGTCCTCCTCCTGCTGCTGCAACACCTGGCGAGCCGCGGCCACGGCGACGCAGGTCTCGAGCAGGGCCGCCTGGTCTCGCTCCGGGCCACGCAGAAGCCGCCAACCGCAGGGCCACCCTGGGGATGCGGAAGCCCAGACACTCTGATAGCGAGGCGCATCTCAGGAAAAAGCCATTGTTGTTGTTTTAGTTGCTCCATCATGCCTGACTCTCTGAGACCCCAGGGACCGTAGCTCTGTGGGATTTCCCAAGTAAGAATACTGTAGTGGGTTGTCGTTTCCTTCTCCAGGGGATCGTCCCAATCCAGGGATCCAACTCCCATCTCCTGTATTGGCAGGTGGATTGTTTCCTGCTGAGCCACCTGGGAAGGCCAATCATCCATGAGGATAATGCAAGACTGCATGTTGCTTTGATGACCGGGCAAAAACTGTTATAGCTTGGCTTGGAAGTTCTGAGTCATCAGCCATATTTACCAGATATCGCACATTTGGATTTACATTTATTTCAGTCATTACAAAATTCTCTTATTGGAAAAAACTTCAATTCCCTGGAAGACAGTAATGGGCACACAGAATCATTCCTTGCTCAGAAAGATTAAAAAGTTTTGGGAAAACGAAGTTATGAAGTTACCTGAAAAAATGACAGAAGGTAGTGGAACATAACAGCAAATACCTTGTTCAACAAAGTTCTTGCTAAAAATGAAAAGTGCCTTTTTTTTTTTTTTCCCGAAGCCAAAGGAACTTTTTGGTCAACCCAATACTTGGTAGAATTTGAAAGAGAAATGTGGGAATTCCCTGGCATTCCAGTAGTTAGGACTCTAGGCTTACACTGCATGGGGCCAGGGTTCCATCCCTGATCCCGGAAATGAGATCTCATATGCCAAGCAGCATGCCCCCCCCAAAATAAACTTAAGAAAAGCAAAGTTGTATTCTTCTTGAGGTTACTCATCTCACATGGTCCAAGATATCTGGTCAGGGAGCCTCCCAACAGGAAATGTAGTGGCCAGGATAAAAGTTTGCTATCTTCACATTAGCAAAGACTAGATGGTCTTTTTTCTACCTAGAAATGCTCTGAGTAGGGACAATTAAAAAAAAAAAAAAACAACTCCTGATTTTCCAACATACTGCCTTAGAGAAAGCGATCAAAACATTTTCTTCTGAAAGAGTTTCTGCTGCTCATGATGGGTGGTTGAGCTGAAGCAAAGGAGCTACCAGTAACAGCAAAGTGGCCCAATGCTGTGGATACCAAGTAAATCAAACGTTGGAAGACAGGAGCCTCCAGAATGAGTGATGGGAAAATAATCCAATTATCTTCCTTTGAGAAGTATAAATTCATGGGAAGTAAAGAGAAGTCAGCCATACTAGCTACACTTGCTATTGCTCTGGTTTCCCTGAAGCTTACAGTACCTGACCTCTCGCCAGGTCTGAACCCAGAGGGGTCCTATGAATGCAAGTGCCCCATGTGCAGTTGGCAGCGACAGCAGCCAGGTAAGGGCGGTAAGATTCTAATACAAGTTCCAATGTGACAGTGTGTTATCCCCACACCACCAAGCTATTTCTGACACCAGTTTGGTGTCTCACAATCCTGACACTTTGTACTCAGAGAAAACTTCAGATTCCACAGGTTCAGGGCTCCCTGTTACAAGACAGCCCCTCCCCCACTTGAGATGCACTCACAGCTCCGGGCTGTCAGCTGTGCTTCTGGTGGAGCCACTGGAGTGCAGAGGTTCCAATGACCCTTCCTGGGTTCAATTAATTTGCTTATGGAACTCAGAGAAATCTTTTATTGATTAGATTATCATTTTATAATAAAAGGCTGTAACTCAGGGACAGCAGGTGGAAGATGTGCCTCAAGCAAGGTGAGGTGAAAAGGCATGAGCTCCCCTGTCCTCCCCAAATCCCAACCTGGAAGCTTTCCAAACCAGTCCTTTTGGGTTTTTACAGAGGCTTCATTACAGAGACGTGATTAACTCATCAGACACTGGTGATGGGTTCAGCCTCCAGCTCCTCTCTCCTCCCTGGAACGTGGGGTTCTGATAAGGTCAGGCAGCCCCTACTCTCTGGTCACTGGGATGCTCTCCAAAGGTCACCTCATTAACATAACAAAGCCCATTTATCACTTTCAACTTAAGAAATTCCAGTGGCTTTAGTAGCCATTTCCTTCTCCAGGGGATCTCCCCAACCCAGGGATCCAACCTGGGTCTCCCACATTGTAGGCAGACCCTTTATCATCTGAGCCACCACAAAAGTCGTGCCAGAGCAAGACAAACACCAAATACATATTTCTTACTATATCACAACGATCAGGTCATAGGATAGCACCTTTCCTGAGTGCAGATCAGCCGTTAGTCATTATACTGGTTTTATCTAATATATCTAGAGATCTAAATTCCATGCCCACTGAAGGCAAGGCTTTGGGGAACAGGAAGTGTGTATATTTTGAGCAAAATTATAAAGAATGCAGACTCTGCCATGTGAACCTATTTGGGGGACCACACTAGATTTGAAAACTTAAGAAAGTCTACATGCACCAGGCCAATCAGCATGATTACAGTTGAAGGATTTATTTTTAAAGATGAGATCTAAACAACCTCATGGTGACCCCAGAATGACTGGAGATCAGGGCCTTCCATGCACTTGGGCACTTGGAATTAATTCCCACTCCCATAATATGTACACTTTCCAGGAATATGTGATACTCAATATCAATATGTGTCCAAAGATAACTAGTGTGAAGATAATGTGCTACATCTCAGGATCCAAGGAACCGTTAATGAAGCCTCAGAACAGATAAAGACTCTGTAAGCACCAACAGCCACAGAACATTGTTTTCTTTTTTTAATTTTTTATTTTACATTGGAGTATAGTTGATGAATAATGTTGTTAGTTTCAGCTGTATAGCAGAGTGAACATTCTCATTAATGTGACTCAGCTCTTTACTCTGAGGCCTGGGTCCCTTGAGTCTAATGAGAATAGATTCTGATTGCCTTGTGCTGATTTTATCAGCTGTCAGCAGCAACAACCTGACCTAGAGGTCCCACTGACCTGGTGGAGGGTTTTATAGAAGAGAAGATATGTGCAAAAGACAATGTGGTTCCCTCGATATGCTCCCTCCTGCTCATTCATAGAAAGTATTCCACCTATAAGTACACTGTTTGCAATTAGAGACAGTGAATATATCCATCACATGCTTCAAATTATTCATGAACCACTGCTCTCAAAGCTGTGTCCTAGGTTGTTTCTGTCACTCACCTATTATGTTTTTTTGTGCCTTTTGATCCCAGTTGAAAAATATGTCCATATCCAGACAAAAGCAGAAACAAGTGTGAGAAAAATAAGAAAAATCAAATAAACTCAATATGATTGAGCCCTCAGACACAAGAATGCTCTCAGAGCAAAGCTGGTAAGATACCAGCAGAGAGCAGAGGTCATACCTATTTTTTTTTAAACAGTAATTTGGAGCTTACATATGCTTTTTCAGCTGTAATCTCTGGTGGTATTTGTGTCAGGACAGCATACCTGAGCAGGAGCCAAAGGGAATGCAAGTGAAACAAACTATAAAGGTTTTCTAGTCCTTTATACCAACACCTTGCTGACCCCTGGCAAAGAGTGACTCAGTCTGACAGACATACAGATACACAAAATTGTTGAAAACAAATAGATAAAAAAACATGAAACAAATAAGACAAAATTGCCTTTACAAGGTATCTCCCTACAATCCAGTGGTTAAGACTTCACCTTCCAATGAAGGGAGTGCACGTTGGATCCCTGATGGGGAGCTAAGTTCCCATTTGCCTTGCAGCTAAAAAAATACAGAAACAAAACAAAACCAGAAACAAAGCAATATTTTAACAAATTCAATACAGACTAAAACTTGTCCTCATCAAAAAAAACTTAAAATTTTAAAAAATTGTTCTTCTCCGACGTTAATATATAGCAAAGAATCAAAATGCTTTGGAATTAACAGTTACAATGTCCTGAGGACCAAGAAAGTCAGTGGGATGTACCAAAGAGTGCTAACCTCATCATGCAAATGCCCTCGGGGGTGTGAGCCTCCTGAGGACCAATCTGTGACCCCCCAGGGGGCTGTCCGGAAGCTAGACAAGGCCACACCCTCTGCTCACCTGGTCATTCCCTGGTCCACTTCTGAGGCATCCAGACATGTGCTGCAGATGGCAGACGTGGACACAATGAAAGGGGCTGCAGGTGGCAGAAGGTCTGGCCAGCAGAAACAAGGAGTCTCCCACAGGGAAAATGGAAGGATTTCCTCCAAGGAAAACCTGTCTGTAAAAGAGAAGGGAGGAAATCAACATCCCTCAGAAAGAAGGAGAGAAAAACGAAGCATGGAGACACAAGAGGCCTCTCAGAGCAAAGAGGGTAAGATGCCAGATTCTTTCTTGCAGACATCTGTTTTGAGTGATCCTGGAGAGAATTTGGGAGGCAGTAGAGACTGGGCTATGGGACAGAGGAACATGTGCCAGATGTGACCTTGACACCTCTGAAGGAGGGGAGAGAAACCCAGGGTGAAGTCCCCATCCCCTGTGATCCGGGGCTCTATCAGCCATGCCATTCTTGGTCTGAACTTGAGAGAGGGTTTCCTGGGGCATGCCTGCCAGGCAGCTCAGAAACTACTCTGTCCAGTTGAGATGTTCATGGAGGGACGGGGGGCTGGAGGAAACCAGGGTTTGGGGGAAGGGATGGCACGGAGTTGCAGGAGCAATCGGACTTGGAACGTCTCTAACCCACTCTCCCCAGATTCCAGAAGGAGGTCGGGAACACTCACCCTGTCCTCCTCTCCACCCACAGAGGTCACCAGGCACAAGCGATGCAGAAGCCCGGATGGCTCCCCTGAGAGTCACAGGAGAAATGGCCACGGAAACCTCATCATGCAAATGCCCTCAGGGGGTGTGATCCTCCTGAGGACCAATCTGTGACCCCCCAGGGGGCTGTCCGGAAGCTAGACAAGGCCACACCCTCTGCTCACCTGGTCATTCCCTGGTCCACTTCTGAGGCATCC